GCGTCTTCGAGTAATCGGTGAACATACATAAAAAAAAGGATTCCAACGAATTGAGAACCTCCTCCTTTTTGGAAGTCGGTTAATAAGCGCAAATTCCTTTAAAAGTGTCATGTAAAAGAGGTATCCTCTTAAATTTTCCTATTTAAAATCTATGTTCTTAATACTTTTTAAACTTTAACTATATTTTAGTTTCTAAACAAAATAATATATTAGGACGAACTTGCTTTACTTGACTTGACAAACTTGGGTATTATTTAAATAGAAAAATACAGGATTCCAAATTAAAATATAAGTTACAACTAACGTACCCATAAAATTTGAAACCAAATAAATATCAGGTAAAATATCGTAAGAAGGTAAGTAGTAAATATGTAATATGTATGTAACATAACATGATTAATATTACAAAATAAAGCTTCAATTAACTGCACCATTTTAAGGGTTAGTTTTATATAACAGTAAACATATTATAATTTTTTTACATAATGTGTAAATTACATATGAGAAGGATTAATTAATATGCACTGATGATGTAAAGACCTTCAGAATATTATACATACATAATTCATATATTCTACTCGTATATAGTTTAATATTTTTATATGATTAAAAATATAAATAACTACGAGCTAAGCTACGAGGCTTGTGTTATGGATACCAGATAGATGATGATACACAATATACCTAATTTTAAATACATATTTGCATATTATAAATATTTTTTATGTTTAAATTTAAAATATGATTAAATTATAAAAATATTTAGGAACTTGAGCGTTTCAAGTTACGAAATATATAAGTATACGTTTCTTTGTATTAATATTTGTAACCTAAAAATGTTTTTTAAACACCTTTCTCCATTTTGTAACACAATTCTAATCTCAAAAAGTTTTAGGCAAACCGGCATATTACTTTTTATAATATAATTTGAGACAGTTGAATCTATACTAATATTAAAAAGAGGTAAAGTTCGTAAGTGTTGTTGTAAGGGTAATCTCTGGATCTACTGAACCGATTTAGATGAAATTTTGTAAGAAGATAGTTTGAGGCCCTGGGAAGGATATAGGATACTTTTTATCCCGGAAATCATCCCTTAAGGAGGTGAAAATGAGGATGAAAGTTTGCACGGGGTATCGAGCTAGGGACGAACCCGAGCGAAGCGAGGGTGAGTCGCTAGTTATATAATATTCCTAATAGTTATTTCACTCGAACGCAAAGCTACAGTTAAACTTTTGTGATAGTTCATGTGCTTAATAATAACTAATAAATAATATTATGAATAGTGGCAGTAGCTACCTGCTTAGCTCTTCACTGTGTACACATTTATTATTTAGACCAAAAATATGTGGATCCACGTTTTATGGGGACACGTAGATTGCGGAGCTCGAGCTTTAACTTTGGATATATGTAGTATGTACTTGAATTAAAACCATTATAATGGAGCTTAACTATGATTATAATAGACTATTATGATGATATTTTAAAATGTCTTTTCAAACTCAACAAACCGTTATCGCATAAAAGAAAAATTGTTAAATCTCTTGATTTGGAAACTTTGTTGATTTATGAATTTAGATATTACGTTCTTGTTGTTAAAAGTACTTTAATTACTATTTCTTCCTTAATATGCGTCTATATTATGCTATATTATACATACAACGTGAAGTTCTTTATATCTAGAGTCTAGCTCTAGACTCTAGATGTAAAGAAATGAAAAAAAGAAAGATAAAAAGGCTCTAGTTATAATTCCCTCTCTATATCGTACCTAATATCTTTATATCTACCTCTCTTACTAGAAAACATTTTAATTGCCAATAACTACTTATAAATTTGTGCTCAAATTACATCTCGATATGCTCTCATTGTTAAAATTATAAGTACATAGGAGTTACATATCCCATAGAATCCTGCTCTTACGTACTACATTAGAGTGACATAAGAAACAACTGTACCGGTTAAAATCTTACAAAACGATGGAAAACTAAAACAAGAGATGTTAACCAACGAATGTCATAAATGTGGTTAGTGGTTACTTTAAATTCCGTTCATTACCGTCATACAACATAACAATGTGCGAGTGTCAAAAGTGGTGGCGAGATGTCGAAAAGTGGAGGCAACGACGTCCATAGGTATGCGAGGACGCAAGATGCGGCTAGCGTAGGGGGAGGGGCGCTCGGCATCTGAAGGTCGTCCGCATTCCTCGCGTCGCCGTCCGCTGCTACCGCGCTTACGTAGCGCCCCCCTCCCCCGCACCACCCCCGACCCGACCGGTCACCCCCCCTCCTACCCATCCTGACCGCCATCACAAACTATCGCGCATTTATTAAAACAAAAAAACATGTTCTTATGGCTATCAAGAGCTCAAGAGCTGAGCCGCAGAAGTACCGGATGCGATGAAATTTATTCGCGTCTAGTTTTTTCGAAGTGAACTCGTGGTGCTGCATTCCGAGAAACGTTCGTATTTAAGTTCAGAGTACCGCAAAAGATGACCCTCGCCTTCATTGATTCTTTAAATATCGTAATATGTATTCGATTTTATTTACTTACTTTTTGTATGCCATCGCCTTGGCGAATAATTATTAAAATTCATATTAGTTTATTCATAATAACAAGTTATAACAGCAAGTTCGCTAAGAATGTTGCAAAACAAGTTCAAATTTAGTTGTTGGCAACACACTTGTATAAAAACAAACATTATTTATTTAACTTTAGGGAAGGCCTAAAAATCATTACATTAGTAATAAAAATGTATTTTAATTATATTATTTCATTATGAAGACGTAAAATTGTCTTTACCACCCGATTGTTGGTTTTTACATTATATTAGTGTTTTAAAAGTATTGAATATCGGTTCTATCTTACAAAAAAAAGTTAATTTACATAAGAAAAGGTATATTTTTAATTAACTTACAAAGAAATTACATGAATATAATATCATAATATTATAATAATTAATTTTATTTAATACTCAAAATTCTTTATGACATGCGCAAAGAATTTCCAAAATAATATTTATGTGAAGACAACAATACGGGTTTAAAAGCTGCAGGTAGCAAAAAGGCAATTGTCTGATAAAAAAAAAGTATGGAATGCACAGATGGTGCAGATCCGGACATTCCTGTCTGAACTACACACCTTTTGGCGGATGAAATAGATTTTGTTAAAATAGATTTAAGCATATATTTTTAAGTACTATTCGGACTCTGGTTTCTCAGAAGATTCTACTTAGCGATCAAAACTTAAAAGTTTTTGTCATAATGAGATACGATTAAAGATTTAAATTCAAAATCTTATCATGTAATTAGCAATGAAATGTACAGAATCAAAGATAAAAAAATATAATGGGAAGAATTTATTCCGGAAGACCTAGTCTTGAATACAATCCATACTAAATACTAATACTATAAATGTGAAATTGGGTTTGTTTGTTTGTCCTTCTTTCACGTCAAAACGGAGTGACGGATTGACGGGTTTCTTTGTGTGGAGATAGTTGGAGGGCTGGAGAGTGACATAGGCTACTTTTTACCGCGGGAGATGATCTCCTCCCCACGGGAAAACACGTTAACTTTATAATACAACCCAAAAAAATATTTATGATCAGAATTATTTGAAACTTGGTATTAATGCTCTTCAATACAATTAAATAAATACGTGTGAAATTCATCCCATAAGGGAGTAAAATAGGGGATGAAAGTTTGTATAAAATCTACCTTTTCAGAGTATTTTTTTATAGTTTTAGCGCGCGCGAAGCCACGGGTTCTGCTAGTTATCTATGTATATATTTTTCTGTAAGATAGTAGAGAATCTATTCAATGACGCACGGGATGTAGTTAGTGCCTGAGTCAAGCGAGGACGACTCACTAGTAGGTAAATAATAGTTAATACAACAATTTATCATATTATTTTGAAGAATAATACCCAACTCCAGTAAAAGTTCTTGAAGTGTAAAATATTTACAAAACGCAATTTTTTCTATCTATGCATATAAAATTTTTAGGTATTTAAACTTGTGATATGCCTGTAGTAGAATCTAATGTTTTTAGTATGTTGTGTTTGTCTTTGTTTGCATAGATGCAAGATAATAACATTATCTTTTACTGTAGTTCTTATTTTTCTTACGAACATCTGTACTGATATTATAAATGCGAAAGTAACTCTGTCGGTCTGTCTCTTACCTTTTCACGCTTAATCCGCTGTACCGATTTAGATAATATTTGATATGGAGATAGTTTGAGACCCTGGGGAAGGACATAGGATAGGTTTTATCCCGGAAATCATCCCTTAAGGAGGTGAAAAGGGCGATGAGTAAGTTTGTATGAGGAAACATTTCTCAAGTAATATGTTTTTTTTTAATTTTTAAAGTAGGTACTTACTTTTCTATACCTATGTATATACATATATATAGTTTATTCAATACTAACTGTGAAAGCGTACGTAGGGACGAACGCGAACGAAGCGAGCGTGAGTCGCTTGTTTAATATAGAAAATTCTTGCGTCACAGTGTTTGTAACAAAACTCCTCTGAAACGGCTTAACCGATTCTTATGAAATTTTGCGTGTATATTCAGTAGATCTGCGAATAGGAGGTAAAAGGCGTTTTTTCATACCCCTAAGTGATAAGGGTGGTCCACCCCAAAAATATTTTATTTTTTGAACAAATTTTTTTTTTTTTATAATTCGGCATTAAAAATACATACAAACTTAAATATTCACTAGGGACGAGTCGCTAGTATATATAATATTGTTTCGATCAGTTGAGTAAATCTAATTATTATCTATGTGGTTCCCGAATACAGTTAGAAAGTCCCGTGTAAAAACGCAGGAAAAAACTATTAAAATATTTCAGAAATGGGACTGTTTTAATAATGATAGTTTGTATGTGTGTATGTATATGTTTGTTACTTCACGCTGAAACATCCGGATCTGTATGAAAAGTATGATATTATGTAGCTAATTAAAAAAAATGTTGCAGGGAGAGCAATAGGCGTCTCGAGATGCGATATGCGCGCTCTCTGTTCGGTTCGCGGGCCGTTGGGCGGGGAGACGCGTGCCCTGGGCGCAGGCGCACGCCTCCTGTCCCTGCGTTTGCCCGGCCACCCTCAGCCGCTACACTTTGTTGTCGAAGCCAAAGCCAGAGTAAAGGAGCTAAAAGCTTTGGCCCACGCTCATTCACAACTTCTAGGCATGGCCGATACAGAACTCTTCGGTTTAGCAATTATGCAAAGTAAGTTTGACAAGTTCTTATTTATTTTACTTACAATTATGCAACCACTTGGATTACCATAAAAAGGTGTAGATAAAAAAATACCTAATATTTTTCAATTTGATCAAATCGGCCAAAAATATTTTGGAAAAATTACAAAAAATATTGGAGCTAAATTCAGCTAACATTAATATAACTCATTTTATTAAATCAAAGTAAAGTTACACTTTAGTCATAGTCTAACGTACTTGTAAATACATTCGATTTTTGAATTCACTTAATTGTAATTTATTAGTAAAATAAAGCACGACTAAAACATAAAACATTTTTAATGAACAAAACCACTCTATTTCAGATGGCGAATATTTGTTTGTTGACTTAGAAAGTAAGCTTTCCAAATATGCGCCTAAGAGCTGGAGATCTTCTCATACGCACGTAAGTTACTTATGACTTAATATAACGCATATTTAAAGAAAAGGGATCTTATTTTGATACATATTTTAAGTACAAGGTCTTAATTAATAATATTATGGCAAACAATTGTATATCGATTTATCATTTTTCTATTTCAGGGCTTGGATGCGCACGGGAAACCTCTTCTAGAGCTTCATTTGGTTGTTCAATTTCATATAGAGAGTCCTCTTCTTCTACACGATGAAATTGGTCGAAACGTATACTTTCTACAGCTCCTTGAAAATATTCGTACACGAGATGCATTACCAGCAGAAATAGTTTTATTACTAATCGGTTTGGCACTACAAGCAAAATTTGGAGATGAAGATATGTATGAGGACCAAGAATATTTTAAAGTTGAAGATTTTGCACCACCCTCACTTACAGGAGAGTGGGTGTCATCTGCTTTACGTGCTTGCCATCGTGAACATCGTGGCCTTTCTAAAGATGATGCTGAAATTAGATTTATACGTGAAGTTTGTCTTCTTCCAGATACTATTAACTCTCATAGGTATCGATTGAAACAATCTAAAACAGAACTAGAGCCAGGAACTGTTTGGCTACTGGTTACGGCTAAAGGCATTAAAGTTTTACCCGATAATGGTCCCATATCTAACTTTATTTGGAGTTCTATCGGCAAACTTAGTTTTGATAGAAAGAAATTTGAAATACGCACTGAAGAAGGAAAAATAACATTATATTCTTCTAGTGAAGAAAAGTGTAAATATTTATTTGCTTTATGTAAAGAGACGCATCAATTTTCAATGAAAATTTCGCCTAAGTTAAGCGATATATTACGAGAAGAGGAGAATGAACGTAAAAATTGTTTTGGTTATTCAAAATCTTTAAACTTTCAATATTGTCAAAATAAAAGTGAACAAAGAATATCTCTTATATCATCAACTAGTTCAAATACGACATCAGGAATAGTCAGTGACAGAGTACAATCTGAAGATGAATTGGAAATTATGATAGATTCACCTCCAGCTCCTTCTACTGAAAGTTTAGCATTAGCTCATTTATTAGACTATTCGAATTCGTATTTAATAAGAAACATTTCAAAAGATGTTAATCCTTTAATTAAAAATTCATCATCATTACAATTACAAAAATGTAAAATGCGAATTAAAAAAAGTAAAGATGAATGCGAGAATGTTTCCAGAAATGATACTTCATCAGAAATAGGGCTCTGTTCTACAAGTCAAATGGAAGAGACATCTTCTTTACCAGATCAAAGCACCTGTGAAAAACTTGATGACAGTCCAAACTCTAGCAAAATGAAATGTACTGGATCCCAATGCTCTTCTTCATGTAGTACTGTAATTATGGCACGCGGAGGCCTAAGTACTCTTAGTAGAGCATCAAATGCAAGTAGTTTGGAATTAGGATACAGTCACACAGCTCAAAACTCAATGATAAGTGATAACAGTATGGTGGGAATTGATGGGGAATATATTCAGGATACAGCATCGGCTTTGTATGATGGCCTTGGTCAACCGGTTACTGTAGCTGCTTCCAGCGAAACAAGCGGGGTATACACAATGGGCAGTTCTGAATTAACATCTCGCTCCAAATTATATAGTCACTCTGATAGCAGCAGAACTGAATATAGTAGCTCACATTATGACAGTTATAATATAACAAAAGAAAATGATTTGGCTGATTTTGATAGTGTTTCGTCTATATTAAAGAACAAGTCTACAAGAATCAACCTCTCACCCAAAGAATTAAGATTAAAAGAAAGTTTAGGCAACACTGATTGTGTTGACGGTACGGCTCAATATTGTGTCGAACAACATGATGAAAAAGAAAATATATTTCGTGAACGAACAAATTCTAATATTAGTGCTGCTTCATTTCATGGTGATGGGAGTGATCCAACAGATAACAAACATAATCTGCTTAGTGCAAGTGAATTAAGTGATCTTATTGTTGGCAGAGGCGTTTATCCGAAAAATCAGTCAGTGAGTGACACTTTAGATTCTGTCTCAGATTACGTTAGATTACCTTTGCCATTTTCTGGTGATAGTTACCTGCAAGGCCACGAGGATACAGCTCCTTCTGATGATAATTATCCTAGTAATACTTATATTGACAGGCCACCAACACCACCTACAAGAATAGACAGCCGTAAAGGGCTAAACTTATCTCTACCTAACATACTTGATTTAGACGAAAACGTGCCTGTTTTGCCAAGATATCCAAATAAGCCGCCGCCACCATACGAATATAAACATCTAACTCTTGCATCGTTTCATGCTCCGTCCAAACCACCACCAGCTTATCCTGGAATATCATCCATTTCTTCCAAACCAATAGTTGAAAAAGAAGAAGTTGCTGCTAGAGTTGTAACATCAAAACCAATGATCACAATTTTAAAAGCAGAGGCAGGGGAAGTTAATGCATCTAGTGAACGGACATTCGCTAGTCCAATGGTTTTGGAACATCGTTTTCAAAAATCTAAAAGACATCAAGCTTCCAGTCGAAGAGCAGAACGGTCAAAACTAGCCCAAGGTCTTAATAATAATCTTTCACCTTCAAGAGAAGTTGCACCTCATACAGATTCTAATGTATTAGTTGCAATGATGAAGTTGCCTCCTCCTCCGCCACCACCTCGTCGGCCGCGATTACCGCCTCCACCACCAGTAGCCCGGCTACCACCACCATCACCTCCCCATAACCCCATATTTCATCAACAACTATACAGTGATGTTGACTATGTTTACTACCCTCTTCAAGATCCTTCTATATCTCAACAAAACTATCTAGATCATAAAATAACAGAATCACGAATATCTAACATGCATAAAAGTAGTTTGCAATACAGGAGCACGCCGTATCTTTCGACTTCTTTGTCTGCCTCGTCAACTTATGGATCAATACAGAATCTTTCAGATTCTTATATCCAAATACCGGGTACGCGAAGTAGTTGGTACTCTATGACCAGTAGAACATCGCTGAGTAGCCACTCTATAAACTTTGAACGACCTCCAGTACCCACGTGCATTCCAGAACCGGGCTTTCCTCGAACAAAGTCACACGATAACATACTAATTGTTAAAGATCCACCTCAAATAAAGACAAGACGAATGCCGCCTCCTCCACCACCGCCTTATGAACATAAAAAAAAGATTCCTTCTCATTTAAAGGAACTGCAAAATCCGAACTGCAGTATATTTCATAGTGATCCTAGCGTTACGAAAAATAAAACCTCGAATTGTGATTTAGATATTAAAACTCTGAGGGAAAAAAGTAAAAACCTCGACTTGCCTTTAATTGCAGCATTGTGCAACGACCGATCATTGTTAAAGCAAACTAAAGCTTTTGGTGCTACGAAGTCAACTAAGCAAACAGGAAGTGACTGTGAAAATGACAGAAAAAGTGCCAAGTTTTCTCAAAACACCACCGATAACATAGATCTTAAGAAAAAACAAGAGTTAAATGCTAGGAAGGCAGTGACCGGGTCCCAAAAAAAGATATTAGTACGAAATCCTACAGATAAGCTTCCCGCGCTACCCGGATCTGAAACTCACACTCCTAGAGCTATGTCCAATACATATGTAATGCATCCAAATATAGTTAAATTAAAAAAAAGTCAACCAAGTTCATGACGTCGCTCTAGGACTCAACCTTTACCTTCCGACGCTACAAACGATCATTAAACATTCACCAACCTTAATAATGTAACTAAAGACTGAAATTAGATAGTAAAGCAATCCCACTGATTTTAAGTAATAAAAGTAGAATTTTGAACTAGTGCACATTTCATTAAAGTTAATGAACGAAGTATATCTCATTACTCTATACAGATTTCGCCTACGAATCGATGTGATAGCTGCTCTAGGAATATGAGTTCAGAAACTATTCATAGCTAACATAAGATACAAAAATCAGTTATCTTGTATTGTATTCACAATTTTAATAAATTAATCGACGGAAATGTAAAGTGTACAAAAGTAATTTATTTACAAAAAATGTAAATTCTCTATTAAATAGTGAATTTTATAACCATGAATAATTAAATACTCACTTTAATATTAATCCGAGGTAAATTTAATCTTCGACAAGTAGGAATATCTGAAGTCATAGCTAAGTCCTAGTTAATTATAGAAATATAATATTCACATCTATTTATTTTGTCAACAATCATGTACATAACTGGTATTTTTATTGTTTTAATACGTCATATTGTTCAACGTGTACAGATGTATAGTAAATTTTCTCACATGATCTTGTCTTTTATTTAAATTTCGATAATAAAGGTGCATTAAATTAATAAGATCAATTAAAATAAAATATCCTTTAATTACTAAAATAATTTGACATTATACACTCACACATGCATTTTTTTTCAAACATAATAACATATTATTTAGTAAATATAACAATCATAAAGCAACAGAAATTAGTATCTTTAACTGAAAAAAATGGCTCTTTCCGACATCTATTGGTGAATAATAATACTATTTTTTTTTATTGTAATTTGAATCTCGGAAACGGCTCCATCGATTTTCATGTAATTTAGTATACAGGAGGTTTCTAATATTTTTAATATAATATGGTTGGTAATTTGCACGCTCGGGTATAAGCGTCGTGTTTAATCGGCCAAGGTGCAAGATCAACAATCACAGGTGTCAAGGTTCAAATCTTGGTCGCATAGAAAGTTAAAACTTTCTATCAGAATCATGATTGTTAAAATAAAAATACTATATGTATAAATATTTTTAATGAATACTGCATCAATTCTATTAAACTTCACTAGGTAAACATTTAAGTACTAACATTAATACTTTGGTTCTTAATGTAAAAAATACACAAACGATAAAAATGATATAAAGTATTCATTATACTTGTCAACAACAAAATAAAAAATATATAAAACTTCACTTTAATATGAGACTCAAAAGGGTATGTAACTTTTTGGCATAATTTTTTTTCTTTTGCCAGTAATGAAACTTAGATCATAAATTACAAGACTATGTAAGAATTCTCTCCCTACATAGCCATTATAGTTAAATTATATATATATATATATATATATATATATATATATATATATATGATGATGATGTTCTCCTAGCCGATTCCGGCCACGGCGGCCAATCTCAATGAGATTAGCCAACTGCGCAGGAGATATTATAGTGCTCAAGTGTACGCGCAGACACAAGTGCACTCTCTATTCCTATCACTCCCATACTCCGGTGGGACGACCACTCGACACGACCGGTGAGAGTTAAGGTGCAGGACCGACGGCTTTACGTGCTCTCCGAGGCACGGGGGTGAAACACCGCCAACTTCCCAACTCCGGGCTGTTACTGAGACTTACTATACAAGAAGACTCAATAACTAAACTTGGCCCGACCCGGGACTCGAACCCAGGACCTCCGGGTGTGCAGCCGTACATGCTAGCCACTACACCACCGAGGCAGTTAACAATGATGATGATGATGATGTTCTCCTAGCCGATTCCGGCCACGGCGGCCAATCTCAATGAGATTAGCCAACTGCGCAGGAGATATTATAGTGCTCAAGTGTACGCGCAGACACAAGTGCACTCTCTATTCCTATCACTCCCATACTCCGGTGGGACGACCACTCGACACGACCGGTGAGAGTTAAGGTGCAGGACCGACGGCTTTACGTGCTCTCCGAGGCACGGGGGTGAAACACCGCCAACTTCCCAACTCCGGGCTGTTACTGAGACTTACTATACAGGAAGACTCAATAACTAAACTTGGCCCGACCCGGGACTCGAACCCAGGACCTCCGGGTGTGCAGCCGTACATGCTAGCCACTACACCACCGAGGCAGTTAAATATATATATATATATATATATATATATATATATATATATATATATATATATATATATATTATATATATATATATAATTTAACATATACACATAAAGACGACTAAAGTAGCACGAAATCCCTAATCGCTCTGATACGATAATAATACTTTGACCTCATATTCGGTCTAACCAATGGCGACCGTTTTAACTACTTTGAATTTCCCACCTATATTTGCTCTTTTTAATAATTATTTTCTAAATCAAACAGAAATTACACTAAAAACATTGATAGACTTACTTAATTCAAAAGCATTAAAGATTATAAAAAAAATATTTCACCTATATTTAAATCACACGCATAATCCCTATTAAGATCAAGTTACATTACTAGCACAAAAAATAAATAAAAATAATAATATTGCCACCGGTCCATACCAAAATTTGTACTATCCCTAATAGAATACATCAAATATTTTTATAGCAATAATTTTTTTTTAAAGTAAATTGCACCAAAAATGTTCAATCCATACAAATCAAAGCAACAGCTATTTAGGAATTATAATAACTGTATGTACACAATTTATATTAATTAAGAAAATAAAATAATATTTGTATCAAAATAAAACTTAACAAACATAGGAACTACTATTTACCTACAATAAGGCTAAAAACACTGATTTAAATATTTTTAATGTTAGTATAATATTTGAAAGTATCTTTCATGAGATTCTTGATTAACTTCATACATTTTATATTCAATATCATCTTATAAAATATGATCATAATTCAATTTGGTAATCGGCTTGTAATCTTTGGTAAAATTCTCATTTTTCTAACTTAAATATGATGGCAGAGTAAGGTGAAAATGTTACTTTGTCAAAGTAGAGAAATTCACCAACTAAAGAAGTATTTGTACTAGCGACAACTGTTCCACCATAAAACATTGAGGTTAGATCAGTAGTAATTGATATGTTTCCTAGATTCCCAACAAATATGCATGTGTTACGACGAGGATACCAACGTTCGATTACGACTAGATTTTCTTCAGTTTTATGTATTTCCATATTTTTCAGGACATTACCATCTTTATAAATCGCCCTTAAATATATTGTTGGAGTATTCAATCTCAATTCTATTAAGCTTTTTATAATATTTAGGTAGTTATATCTAGGCTCTAAATCAGATTTGGAATTCCATGGTAGAATGGAGGAAGTTTCACTTTTAGTATCATTCAAAAATCTCATGGGCACTAAATTTTGAACATGTGCATGTTCATGGAAGTCACCTTCTATTTCATTCTTAGACAAACCACCAAATCCTAATTCATCACCATAAAATATACTTACAGTACCTGGTAGAGCTAGCTCCAGGGCTGTTAGTGCTAAAGTATTATTTTCATGATTTGTTGATATTCTATCACTATTTATATTTCCTATATTCCAATGAACCCAAGGATGATTAGGCTTTTCCCATAGAACACCAGATATTATGTTATCAATATAATTTTTAAGTCCATTTATTCCTTTTTGCAAATCTAAATGAATGTCAATAAGGTCAATTCTATTTAGCAAGACAGTAAGACTACTACCTTTTGCCCTATTCATGGCTTCCTCACTGGCTATAAAAATTTTGCCATTACCTAAAATTTGTTTCCAAACTTGAAGAGATTTTCCAAAGTAAGGATCATCTACAAATTTTTCCAAGTCTTTTAAATAAAATCCATCAACATTTTGTGCCCTTGACCAATATGCTATTGCTGCAGAAGTTGGATCATAACTGTTCTCTTGTGGATCTATAGAAAATACAAAAGTATTGTTTGTATATGAATTTTGAGGCTCAACCATGCTCCTAACTGGAATATCCAAAATTATTCCCATTTCCTTTTTATGAGCTGTATCTACTAATTGTTGAAAATCTTCTAAAACACCTAGACTTCTATCAATCATCAACAAGGAAGTTGTATTGTAATAATGTTCAAGGTAATCAATGGCTTCAAATATATAATTAAGACGAATAGATGAAGCACCTAAATCTTTAATATAATCTAATTTATTCACAAGACCTTTTAAATCTCCTATACCATCATTATTTGCATCTTTGAAACTAGCTGGGAAAATTTCATAAAATACTTTACCCTGATACCAGGGAAGTTCTGGATTGCAAGTTTTTGGGATATTTATGACCATAGCAATTATGGCTCCTAAACAAGCAATAAGTGCAGAGAGTACAAACCAAAGCAAAACTTTTCTTATTATACACCAATTCCAGTTCACAAAATTAGGTAACTTTCTATTGCTGATATTCAGGCTTCCATTCAATTTGCAACTTTCAGGCTGTAAAAGTTTTAATTTTATTTTATAGCAATTAAACTTCAAAAAATCATATTAAAGCAATTCTTATAAGCCTAGTTTACCTGTCCCATTATAATATCTCCATTTTTACTAAGAGTTTGATAATCTAACATACTGATGTTATTAATAAGTTGTGCACTAACAGGATCTTGTACAACAGAATTAGAATCGGCAGATGAACTAGAATCTCCAGCACAAGTATCAGCTGAAATAAGTATGAATTTAGGGTAAAAATAAACAAGTTCTTAAAGACCAAATACCGTGTACGATTAATATTCAGTACCTGCGTTTTGAAGATCTATTTTCTGATTATCATCGAGTGTTAGAAATGGTTCTTCATTCATTTCTTCTGATAGAGGATGCTTAAAATCTAATGGTGTAGGACTAGGAGTCATTGGTAAAAGTAAGCATGTCGATGATTTAACACCGCGAAGATAATCTAAAGTCTCAAGGTCAGTAGACGGATTACTAGTATTACCTTCTGGTAATTCGTTCATGGTTAGGACTTAGATTGCACTTGAATAAGTAAGTAATTTAAATTAAAGTGCACAACATTTATATGACCTCTGAAAAATTAGGAAAAAGTAAAGTAAGCTTTACAATGACATTTGTTAATTGATTTGAGTTTTGACTTTTGACCAGGCCCCAGGGCTGCCAGATATCAGTCGCTGATTTACCATTTTACCCGACCAGTGAAAGTACCTAGTTTATCCCGCCGGGCGGCGCCAACCATGAGCAGAATACTCGAAAATCGTTTTCTTTAAGTAATTAATAGAAATAAAAGAAAGAAGAAGAAGAATTTATATAGAATAAAAGAAAGTACTTAGAAACCGAAGTCATCGTAATCAGTTCTCAATTAAATAGCTTTAAATAATTGAATTGAATCAAACATAAAAAAAACTTTAAATATCAAATTAATCAATTTCCGCTAGTACTTGGCTTAGTAGCGTCAGAAGTCAGAACTCACTCAGAAATAGATCATAATTTCAAATTTTGGTTCGCAACATTCAGGGATATATATTAGTAAGAATGGATGGACATGGACATGGAAAATATTTAGTAAGTAAGTAATCTAAAGTAGGTTGCCAAGAGTCACAAGCCTTTCATTGTTTAGTATTTTGTATCGAAATATTTTTAATACTTTATTTAAAATTAATATCATTTCGAAAAGATTATATTACGATACCTCAATATTAAAAAAAATATCGATAGTTTTGATAGTACAATCGATGCTTAGCTTAAACTACATTTTTTATGTTTATTATCTATATCATAATAAAAAGGATGGATGACAAATAAAAATGTACCTCTTGGCTCTTTGGTAACTTGACAGTTGACTTGACACTTGTCATGACCTACTTATTGTGCTACAGCCTACAACTCATTTACTTTGCAAATTTTTAGTTCTACATAAATAGTAATTACTGAGATTACGAATAAGTTGTACTTTGAACAGTAGTTGTTCAATAAGTACACACGTAATTGAGGTGCCTTACTATACTACAAAGGAAGTTTTTATTTGTTTTTAAGTTAAAATATTTTTGAGAGATGCTTACGGTAAATAAAATGTTTAACTATAAATTGTATGAATTTAAAGTTCTATACAATTTAAAACTACAACGAAAGTTAAGTAGTAAGAGTAAAAATGTTAGAGATATTACTTATCAATATTTACAAAGAAGTAAAGTGCCAACTATGCATTTTCAAAAATCTTTACCTCGACTACCAATTCCAGCATTAAATAATACTACAGATCGTTATTTAAACGCGTTGCGACCATTGTTAAACAATGAAGAATACTCTAAAGCTACTATGAGAACTAATAAATTTTTGAATAATGAGGGCAAAATATTACAATCTAAACTTATTGCAAAAGACAAAACTAATAAACACACCAGTTATATATCAGATTATTGGTTTGATTTCTATCTTAAAGATCGTTCTCCTCTCCCAATTAATTATAATCCTTTATTGGTTTTTAATAATGATATTAGACCAGAGTATAATAATCAGCTTATAAGAGCTACAAATTTATTATTAAGTGCCATCAGATTTACTTTGTCACTGAGAGAAGAAATCTTAGAGCCTGAAGTGTATCATTTAAATCCCCAAAAAAGCAATACACCATTGTTCAGAACTGTCACTGGCCTTTTACCTGAAAGTTTGTCATGGTATGTATTTTGCATCTTTTGTTGTAATTTATTTATGTTAAAAATAATAAAAAATAAATATTGATGACAGCACATAATAAATAATGTTTTATTACTGAAAGACAAACACTTTTTGCAGGTATGGAGCTTATTTGTTTAAAGCATTTCCATTAGACATGAGTCAGTTTAATGGTTTGTTTAATGCAACTCGAATACCTTTGTTAAACAAAGATAAAATCTTCAGGGATCCCACTTGTAATCATGTAGTTGTACAGAAGGGTGGAAATTTTTATACCTTTGATGTCTTAGACTCTGATGGTAATTTTTTATTACATTTTATATTGCTTAACACTTGGCGGTTAATTTCTAAGGAACTAATTGTTAAACAAGCCACCTGTGCCTCGGCAGTCATTGTCAGGTTATGAGAGAAAATGTATGTAAATCATGCACACCTAGCATATTGAGAGTTGTAAAAAACAAAAAAAAAAAACATTACTGTGACTTTTCAGCATACACTAAATTAATTTACCTTTTTCAAATCATAAATAGGAAAATCTTTCAATTTTTTTTTTTTAATTCAATTTTCTTGTTAATAGCTTTAAACCTTGCCAGTTAGTTGAGCACAGATTACTTCACCAATGTCACATAGAATGGAGAAGACCCAAAGGAGATTGGTCGCTAAAATAAGATCATTAAAACTATATTAAATTATTTTATAGGAATTTTAGTTTATTTAAAAATTATTATTCACTAGCGACTTGCCCTCACTTCATTAAGGTGCATCCCTAAATACCTAACTATAACAATGTTATTTTTGTCACAATCTACCTGCATACAAAATTTTATCCAAATCCATCAATCGGATCAATTTAGAAGCAAGTCTTTAGTTACCAGCCACAGCTTATATGTGATACACAGCTTATATATTTAGCTTACAATGAATGTGTAGAGGCAATACCAAAATAGTTCTATCTCATTCATTAATTTAATTTTAGGCAACCTCCTGCCACCTACTGAAATACTTGGAAATTTATCTAAAATCCTAAACGACAATTCTCCACAAGCCTCATACCCTCTTGGAGTGTTGACATGCCAGAACCGAGACACATGGGCTAAGCAAAGAGCTCATTTAGAGGAAACTGGAAATAGTGAAGTTTTAAAGAAAATTGATTCTGCAATCATCAATTTAATTTTAGATGACACTATAATTGGTGATAATAACTACAAATTATTGGAGGAGTATTTGCATTCAGATGGGTTAAATAGGTATTAAATACATTTTAGTATTGTTAACACAAAATATTTTCTACTTAACATACTTTTTAAAATTATATATCAAAGATTTTTTTTTATTTTAAAACAGGTGGTTTGACAAATCATGTAGTCTTATCGTCACTAAAGATGGTACATCAGGTGTTAATTTTGAACATTCATGGGGTGATGGTGTGGCTGTTCTAAGGTTCTTTCAAGATATCTATCAAGAAACTACTACCAAACCATTTATCCATCCCGACAGCAAGCCGTCTGATAACCATATAACAGTTAAACAATTAGGTGAGTTCATATTACTCTGTAACAAAATTGTTAGAATGAACATACTAACTTTTTATTCTTTTATTTGTTAAATTAAGAAAAAATATTAAGTAAAAAGCTCAAAAATTGCTCATTAGGTCAAATGTACTAATCCAAAATAATCTATATCAAAATTGAATACAGCAGTTTGAAAGTGTTTACTTAATTTAAACCAGCATCATACTTTCTTAAAACGCAAATATTCAAATATTTTGGCATTTGAAATAAAACTATTTTTCCGATTTTTCACAGATTTATTTAGGTTTCTGGTACCCGTCTTTGTGAACATGCACGGTCTGTAACAACTATATAATGACCTTTGAGACATCTAAAATCTTAGTCTCGCGTGACCATGATTGCTGTAAAGCATTCAAAACGTCGGGAACCAAAAATTCAAAATAAATCCATGAAAAAATTGGGGAAAGATAGTTTTATTTAAAATTATACCACCATTTTTGCAGAATTTAATATAGACGATAAAACGAAAAGCTTTGTGGACAATGCCAAGAAGGAATACAAGGACTGGTGTGATTCTTTAAGCATTGATTACATTTTATATGAAGGTCTGACAAAGGGAGCTTGTAAAAAGTTCAAAGTAAGCCCCGATTGCATTGTGCAGCTCTCTTTTCAGGTCAGTTTTTTTTTGTCTTGGTTTTAATTTATTTGCACAAAACCTTTATTCTTTTCCTAAAATAAAAGTGGCTTGAGTTAGTCCTTAGAACATCAGCTATTTTCCAGTGAAAGTCCCCTCAAATTCGGTCCAGCCGTTTCGAAGATTAGCCGGAACAAACAGAAACATAGACAGAAGACAAAAAAATTAAAATTATTGTTTTCTTGAAGTACCATATACATATATTTTTATATATCTACATTTAGAGATTAGTTGGTTTGATTGATTAAATTATTGTCAATGATTAATTAAATAATTTCTTATAGCAATTTTAAAAGAAATATTAAATTAATTTACAGTTACTCCCCCAAGACAACCAAACACAAACATGAAATGGTTTGAATAAACAGTTATAATTAATGAGTGGATTAGGTTAGATTTATTCCTACATATTTATAATTTGCGCATTCATTTTATAAATAGTGGGTAGTTCACATGTCGTTAACATTGACAAGTAGTATAAACATTGTCAAGTAATTTTACAACGAATCGCTCTGTTTCTCCTTTTTTACCGGTCATTCTATTTAAAACGTGCCTTCTCCTAAGGGCATTCCTAGAAGCTACGAAAGTGAAGAATTGAATTGAAGAAAATGATTTTTTTTAACCATTCTATGTTACATTGTCGAAGTAATCTTTGCTCAACTCGCACTAATTGGCCACTAAAAATATATACCATAAATATAAAAAATTATGACTGCATAAAAGCTAACTGAAATGATGAAAACAAGTTGATGAAGGACGAATATAGTATTATGCAGTTGCGAGAATTACATACTGTACCCACCTTTGTAAAAATAAAACATTCTACCCACCTTTGCAAGAATAAAACAACATATATGCCTCCAACTGCATAATACTATAATCCTTCATCAAGTTTTCATTCGGGTTTCCTTTACATTTATAATATACTAGCATTGCCCGCGGCTCCGCCCGCGTTCAGATGATCAAAAACCAAATTCTTAGGTTTTAAATATTAGTATACTCATACATTGCAGTTTTTGTATTTTTTTCTCAGAAATCAGATATTTTCCCGCGGTAAAAAGTATCCTATATGTTGACCCGGATAACCAGCTATCACTATACGAAATTTTATCATAATCTCTCCAGTAGTTTTTCTGTGATGCGGTAACAGACAGACAGATAGACAGACAAAAATTCTAAAAACCATAGATTCGGCCTCTGTATCGATAATAGTGTTTATTTCAATTAGATTTTCCAAAAAATATCTAATTTACAGATTCGGCTTAGTTACAATTTTATTATATGTATGTATTGCTTATAGTTTATTCATATTTTTTTGTATATATTTTTATTTTCGTACTGTGCTAGAAAGCGGCTTTGACCAAAGCCAATTATGCAATGCAATCACATTTGAAGAATAAAATGCATGGGTAGGTAGTATAAATTCTAAAATTATTATTTTTCTAATTTAATTTTTTCGTTCAATCTCTCTCAAGTCAGTCGAAAGAAAATTACACAAGATTTTAGACATTAAATACTATAATATAAAATACTCTCCCGTGACCATGATTATATAGCATTATACATATACATATAGATTATAAAGCATTCGAAACGTCGGGAACCAAAAATCAAAATAAATCCGCGAAAAAATCCGAAAGGATAGTTTTGTTTGAAATATAAAATACTTTTTTTAAAGATAAATAATATTATTTATACAGGCTGCGTATCACCTCCTGCATAACAAATATGTAGGCACTTATGAGTCCTGCAGTACATCCGCATTCAAGCACGGTAGAACTGAAACTATGAGGCCTTGCACAGAAAATACTAAGGTATGTAATATCTTTAGATATATGATATATCTTAACAATTATTACGTCATACATTTTACCCATTTCTAGTGTAAATGCCGAAAAGAAAAAGACAATAAAATAAAAAAAAACAGTGTACAGTGCACAGGTACGAGTTTTAATTATATAGAAACTGATTATAATTTTGTAATTCTGTGGCTCTAGTACAAACGTTCTTTTATTCATATTGCTTTTGCTTAATGATGGTTTCGTGGATCCAAAGCTTATAATGGATGATGACGTGTTAAGGGTCTATGTGCACCATGTTTTACAAACACACCGACGCGGATGTCTCTGCGTATATTCTGCGCTGATAGGTGTTAAAATGCAGATTACTTATGTTCATACTGATACAAACGGATGACAAGCGCGCATCGAAAACGCGTTAAAAAGTTGTCTTGCTCTAATTGCTATTAAATCATCATCATCTCCCTGCCCATTTCCCAATCACTTGGGGTCGGCGCAGTACATCTTCTGTACTGCTGATAGGATTTGGCAAAAGTTTTACGACCGGCCGCCTGCCTGACGTCAACCCTCCTTGGGAATGCTATTGTTTATCGCGAAAGTCTTGTAATATGCACATTTGATATTGTTTTCTTTTAAAACATTTTTTTATACTATTACTCAAAGTTTTAATGTAATTTTCAGATATATTTTGAAATAAAATTTGAACACACAATAAATTTTGTTTTGACGTTGTCAATTTTTTTTTCTAATTGCTATTAAATATTTGATGTAAATATAGAAAAGGCAACATTGGTACATGTGATACGCGCGGCGCTGGCGCCATTAACACAAAAACTATATAAAATTGTTGCATTGGGAATAAGGTCAGTTGGTACTACATATGCTCGGATTAGCTTCCGAAACGGATACAATTCCTTCAGGATATGTTTCCAAAATGTATGCGACACTTTGTACAGTAGAGTGCCCTGAAAAATGTATTTGGAGACCGTCTTGTGCTATAGCTATTACTATATAGGTTACTTGAAAGGCTAAAAATATGAGCTATACGAGTGAGAAATGAACAAATATACAAATACACAAATACAAATATATAAATACAAAAAAAAAGGAAAAATATACAAATAAACTTAGCGCACGCGCCTATTCACTTACCGTGCCCAAAAACCGATTAGAACTCAAATATATCATTAACTCTCCGTCGCTTTGCTGAAGTTAACGTGTCTAGGTACGTTTTAACGGTTAATATGGAATGGATAGATTATATAGGTATATTTTTATTTATACATATATAGGTATGATGAGTTGTTGTGTATTATAACGTATTTACCCGTAGGAATAATATAATCTCCAGTCTAGCCCTCCAACTATATATCCACACTAAAAATCACGCCAATCCATCTATCCGTTTCGACGTTTTCGACGACTGACAGACAGACAAACAAACAAACATTCACATTTATTAAGTATGTATGGATATGTCCAAATATTAATGTTATTATATTTTTAGACATTCTGTGACAAGCTCCACTCGAACAAATCTTCAAAAGAAGAGTTGCGGTCGATTATGCAAGAGTGTTCTTCAGCGCACTCAGAGCTGGTGAAGCAAGCGGCTATGGGGCAGGGCTTCGACCGTCACATGTTTGCTTTAATGAAAATAGCTGAAGAAAATAACATGCCGAGACCAGAAATATACGATTCCTATGAATATAAGTTCCTAAACAAATCAATTCTAAGTACGAGTACTCTAGCTGCACCGAGTATGTACGCTGGTGCCTTTGGGCCTGTCACTAAAGAGGGTTTTGGTATCGCGTAAGTATATTTTTTATATTGTTTGATTGAAATAAAATTATATAGTAATCCATATAAGTAACGGTATTATCAAACCTATCCCACGAGAACCGTACATTTTTTCGGAATAAAAAGTAGCCTATGTATTATTCCAGACTATAATCTATTTCTGTGCCAAATTTCATCCAGATCCGTTCAGCCATAATTCTGGGCAACACAACAGTAACAAACATCCATACTCACAAACTTTCACATTTATAATATTAATACGGATTGTTTATAGTTTATTTTATCTATTGATTGAACCTTGCGATAGCCCGATCTGTACAGCGCCATCTAGCATTAAAAGTTCATAAATTAAAAATCAACTAGACATGCCTCTTTTAAAGATATCGAGACAGAATTTTAATTATTACAAGAATTAATTATGCAAAATAAATTTCTTTACGTTAATTATATCCATAGATAGCAAGACTGAATAATAATTTCAAATTGTACTGTACTATATGCTTTACAACTACGGATATGTATGTAATTTTGTGAAATAAAGTATTATTGCTATTATTTCTATGTGTTAGCCCCCCACTGGTTTTGCCGGTGAGTCCCACACCTCGTGCGTAAATGCATTTCCCAACTTTAAAAAAAATGTGTTAGGTCGCTATATTTTTCTCAAATTTTTCGAATTATACATAATTCATATTATACCTTTTTTATAATGATACATATATTGAATAATAGCATAAACTTTCATTATATCAATTGTATCAGTAACTTTAGAAGAAGAGAAGAATTATCATTTATCGATTAATAATTTAAATTTAATAATATTTAAATAACAAATTTCTATACAGATATACAGCATTTCCGGACAAATTCGGAGTAGCCATCACAAGCTACAAGGCTCATAACAGCAGTACAGAATTCGTTAAAGCCTTAAACAAGTCATTTGTTGATATTACGCAAATTTTAACTAGTTAATTGTTACTATTTAAAATATTTTATTATATTTATACCAACAAACATGCAAAACTTGGCTTAAACAGAAGTCTTTAATACATTAACTTGAGAATCCATGTGAAAAGTAATACGACAAAGTATATTTGGATCATGCTGTGTCAAGAAATTATTACCGTTTTTCCATTAAAGAAAAATAGTGTTCGAAACAAAAATAAAAAACATGCGTGTGTTCTTATGTACGCACGTAAGAAGTTATACTTCTTTGATGTAAAAGAACAAAAATAGCTAAAGATTTCATCCCCTATGTCACAACTCTCTGTTTGTAAGAGGAATGCAGCTAACTTCATCATGTCGTTTTTTGGCTGATTTTGAAATTTTACTCTCATATTTTTTTCCAAATGTGCCAAAAGAAGTATAACTTCAAAAAGCTAAAATATGTTAAGTGTAAGTTAAAATATGTAACGTACAAGCATTTGACAATGAATTTTTCAAGACCTTTTGGGACCCAAGAGCATGCCAAGTGCAATTGTTAAACTTTATTAAATTATTTTAAAATGTATTTTGCAGCTATTTTATAGTTTTATTTAAAAGCTAGAATAAGTTAATTTTAGTAATACTAATTATTACTTTAACTAAACATATCGATTTATTATAATCAATTAACTAATGAACGCCAGGCTTAATTAATCGATTATTCTAAGATGTACTATTACAAAAATGTATTTTATTTTTAAGGATCAAATTTTTTTTACTATTAAAACATTTTTTTAAACTATTTAAAAATTGTTGTGGTTTTGATACTATTGTATACAGTATATAATTTATAAAAAAATATATTATTGTCTATCATATATACTACTTTTATGTAAAGATTAAACTGAAGATGTAAAATTTAAACAACATATTTTTATACATATGGAAATATTGTTGTAAAATCTAAAAAGTTAATTTTAAAGGTATTTTGTCAGAGTACATGATAATTTTATTAAAGTCTAAATCAAATGCTAACAAAAAAATTATATACATGCTTACTTTTACTAGTAAAAAAATATTTCACTTAAAATGAAAAATCGTATTTACAATTGTATGTTCTAGGTAAATTATAAGAGGTGTTTTATATATTTCTACTTTTATCTATTAATAAATATTTGTATATTTTTCATTCGTTTTTCATTTTACAAAATATTCAGACACAAAAGTGACTCAGCCTCGCTCTCGCTCATATTTTTCTGCAGTAAAAAATATCCTATATATTGACACGGATAACCAGCTATCATCATACCAAATTTCATCAAAACGTCGAGTCTAGTGGTTTTATCGTGATGATCGTGGGAACGCCCCAGACAGACAAACAAAATTCTAAAAACTGATTTCGGCCTCGATAATAATGTCTATTTCAATAAGATTTTCCAAAAAATATTTAATGTACAGGTTCGACTCGGAATTTTAATTATATGTATAGATTATACATGGATAGATGACAACACAACAATATGCAAAACTAATTTGTAGGAATCGACATCGTAACGTGAAAATGCACAACAACTAACATATGTATATTTTCATGAAACCATTATTAAAGTTTCAAGGATATATTTTAAAGCATTCATAAGGTTACGATAACGTTACGTTACCTTAAAATGATAAATCAATATTTAAAATGTTTTTCAATCGGTTTTTTTTAATTTAATTTGTTAAAGAATATAGGTAATGACAATTATAATAGTATATAGATTGTTTGTATGTCCCTTGATTCCCTATACAAACTTTCATCCCCATTCTCCCACACTTAAGGAATGATTTCCGGGATAAAAAGTATCCTTTATCCTTCCTAGGGTCTTAAACTATCTTCTTAACAAATTTCATCTAAATCGGTTGAGTAGATCCTGAGATTACCCCCTACAACCTCACAAACTTTACCTCTATATCATATCAGTATAGATTGGCTGTCTGATATTTTTTGACTATACCAGAAGCTGCGGCCTCGATTTTCGCACGAGCTGAATATTTATATTGATCTTCGAGAGATCAATGAGATCATCCCAAATACATATAGGTATTTCATTTATTTACACTTTGTATAACATAAACCATCATTTATTTAGTCATCCAAATCCAATTATATTAAAGTAGAGATGTACTGACTATCCGGCCATATTATTAACATTCGGCAATTAGTCGGCCGTTACTTTATTCATATTTACTATTCTTAAATAAAGGAGGGTTATTATTATTATTGAAAAATGTTATTTTCAGTAAATTTCATTTTGATATTTTTTATAGGCACTGTCTGTAAGAACTATATAATTTCTAAAACATTAGTCTTTCTCGTGACCATGATTCTGTACTTAAAGCTTTCGAAACGTCGGCAACCAAAAATCAAAATAAATCCGCGAAAAATACTTTTATTTAAATCTAACAGAAACCACGGCTACGCTCGCGCTAAAACTACAAAAAATCTCTACAAAGGTAGGTTTTATATAAACTTTCATGCCCTTTTTTTTATGTCGGGAAATGCATTTACGCATACCACCCGATCCCCCAGGTGGTGATGTGGGGCTCACCGGCTAGAAGAGCCGGTACTACCCACTAAAACCCGACATTTCCCTCCCCTCCGCCTTAATGGGGCGTCGCAGGATCGCCTGCGCATAACTACTACGGCGCCCCGGCCACAGGTCTGCCATCGGCTGACCACCAAACCAATGGGGCTGCTCCACAGTCAACTCTGCTACACCAGAGAGGTACCAGGAGCAGCCCCATAAAACCGAACCTCCGCCAACCGAAGCGGGCCACCTCCAATCGGCTGCAGAGGACAGGGACAGCGGCAACGAAACACCGACACTCCTCTTCCCCTGCAGCCCCACCGCAAACTTTCATCCCCTATTTTACCCCCTTACGGGATGAATTTCGAGAAATGCTAAAATACGTGTTTATTTAATTGTATTGAAGAGCATTAACACCAGGTTTCAAGTAATTCTGATCATAAATATTTTTGAAGTTATAGATACTTCTTTTGGCATGTTTGGAAAATAATATGACAGTAACATTTTTACGATGCGCGCGTACACCGACAGCCAAAAAGCGACATGATGAAGTTAGCTGCATTCCTTTTACAACCAGAGAGTTGTGACATACGGGATGAAATCTTTAGCCATTTTTGTTCTGTTACGCTAAAGAAGTGTAACTTCTTACATGCGTACATAAATAAGTACACACGTACACACACACGTATTTTTTGGGCTGTATTATAACCTGTTTTTCCGCGGGAATGAGATAATCTGCCGCGGCAAAAAGTATCCTATGCCATTCTCCAGCCCTACAACTATCTTCAGTTTCAGACAAAAAAAAATCACGGGAATCCGTCACTCCGTTTCTACATGAAAGAAGGACAAACAAACAAACACAAACATGCCGCCCGAGCATCTTAATATCTCGTATTCGAAAGCCGACTACGCGGCTAGTCGGCAAAACTCATATTCGGCCCATTTTTATATTAGAGTAGAGAATGGTGTAAGGAGTATTTGTTATTCTCCATTAATTTCGTATGTTACTGTTTAATTGACATTGTTATTCAAAATCTGTTAAAATAACAATGTCAACTTAACTTACTCAAAAGAAATTAGTTTGCATGATTATTCATATAATATTTATGTATTACTTCGTTTAAATTACTATCTACGCATATTATATTTATTAAGAATTATCATTAATGTTCCAGTCGTAAGGATCTACAATTTTCTTTAGGATCATTATAACATTTATCAAATAATAGGGAAAGTTAGTTGTTTAGCGAGTTAGTGAAGAGTTAAATAATAACGACGACTGTTGTCTGTTATCGATTTTCTTGTGTCCATCCTGTAAAGGACATGTATTCATAGTAAAAGCGGCACTTTAATTTACAAGCATTGAAATAAATACACGTTTAAAATATTTCACAACTTTTAATACGTTAATAAGAAGATATTATCAAAATAAGCTTTTCGCAAACTATTGAAAATATAGATAAACTTTTGTAATTTTGATTTACATTGTCTCCACTTTATTTTTCAATTTTTGTATCGTTCTTTCCGAAAATAATTTTCTTTAGTCTAGTCACAGAAAGGGGGTTTAATAAATTGAGTCCTCATTCATTAGAAAATAAAGTTGCGAGATGATCTCGCATGACTGTAAGTTAGATTATGTTATACTTTTACCTGACTGCGGTGAAGCAAAGGAGGCTTATGTGTTTTTCCTGTATGTATGTATGTCCGACCCTATATTTCCTCGTAATTGCAAAAAGAAATAATATAAATAAATATATTAATAAAAACATAGACCATACTATGAATACTGATCCTCACAGTACGATAACATAAAAGACATCAATAACGTTCCTATTCACGTTTGCACTTTCTCCTAACTTTGTTTTAAATAACTGATACATGGTTCTTTTAGCATTTAAATGTGCTTTATGAGACCTAAAATGTGTTAAGGTGAAGTTAAAAAGCAATGAATAATTTAATATTATAATTATCATCTTTAAAATAATGAACTATAATCGCATTTCGCGTACATTAAATGGAATGCTTCATGAACCTTTTGGTATTGGAAATGTTAAAATGTCAAAGTTCATTTATTGTGTGGTAGAGTAGACATGATTTTGTGAACGTTTTAAATAATGTTTCTTAATAAATATCGTGTTAGTGAGTGAAAATTAACTTAATACAAAAAATGGTGCTGTGAAAGCTTTTTATCAACCAAAGGTAAGAGCTTCTAGTGTATTCGAATGTTATACATTATATTGAATTATTGAATTCTGTTGCGTAGTTTTTTAATTAATCTAAAACTTAATATTCTCTTAAATTAAAAATGAAGTATGTAGTAAAAATCCTAAGTTAATATTTAAAAATAGCTGCTTAGACCTAATAATATGTATCCTTCAAATCAAGTATAATTTAATTTTCACAAATTAAGCTTAGTTAGAAAGAGTAATGCACTCTTTCTAACTAAGTATGTGATATTAATGTCCTTTGTAAATATTAAATAAATTATATTATTTCATGTAATTAAAAAGGCTTTGTAACCATTAAAAATTAGGTTTTATACTAAAAAAATAATGATTTTATTTATTAATCTTTTTATTTTTATTAACTCTGCTTTTATTTATTAATATGATATTTGATATATTTAAAAAAAAAATACATTTGTTTCAGAGCATATTGATTAACTGAGTGCTATACAAAGAAAACAAAATGCTGATAAAAGAATACAGAATACCTTTGCCTCTCACTGTAGAGGAATATCGTATAGCCCAGCTTTATATGATTGCTAAGAAGAGCAGAGAAGAAAGTTCAGGTGAAGGTAGTGGTGTGGAAATTATTGTCAACAAGCCATATGAAAATGGTCCTGGAGGAAAAGGACAATATACTCAAAAAATATATCATGTTGGTAGTCATCTTCCAGGATGGTTTAAAAGCTTATTACCAAAATCAGCTTTAACAGTGTCTGAAGAAGCATGGAATGCGTATCCCTATACAAAAACAAGGTATACATGTCCTTTTGTTGAAAAATTTTCCTTGGAAATAGAGACCTACTATTTTGCTGATAATGGTCATCAAGATAATGTTTTTAAGTTATCTGGAAGTGATTTGAAAAATAGAATAGTTGATATTATTGATGTAGTCAAAGATCAACTTTATGGAGCTGATTATGTTAAAGAAGAAGATCCAAAACTTTTTGTTTCCCAAAAATGTAACAGAGGACCTTTAACTGACTCATGGCTGGAAGAGTATTGGAGGGAAGTACAAGGAAAAGCACAACCTTTACCAAATGGCAAGTCATTAATGTGTGCATATAAGCTTTGTAGAGTCGAATTTCGCTATTGGGGAATGCAAACAAAATTAGAAAAGTTTATTCATGATGTTGCACTTAGAAAAACAATGCTACGAGCCCACAGACAGGCTTGGGCTTGGCAAGATGAGTGGCATGGTCTCACAATGGAAGATATAAGAGAAATAGAAAGGCAGACTCAATTGGCCTTGCAAAAAAAGATGGCTGGTGAAGCCGGAGAAGATACCGATTTATCAGAAGAAAATTCAAAATCACTCGCAGCTACTATGAGTAGTCTGGAAAAGAATGAAGATTCAGCAAGTCCTCTCATTTCTAAGAAAAATAATACTGAGAAAAGAGTTCACAAGCAAATGAGTCCTGAGAGCACACCACCCTCAGAGCCAAAATCATCAAAATCAAACCTGAGATCTTCTTCTTCAGGTTCTCTTAAGAGTTTGCAGACTCAAGTAGCAAATTGGCGGATGGAAACATTAGTCAGGGAATCAGAAACTGAAACTGGTTCAGAAGATGAGTTTTACGACTGTGAGTCTTCTTTTAATAAATGGTCATCCATGTGTTCCCTAGATGAAGGTGATATTGATATATCACCTACATTAGGTGATCAAACTCAAGATGACAGCATCTTTAATCCAACATTTTTAAAGCGAGTTACATCTGAGAGAGGTTCACGTAGAATAATAACCTTGCACAGTCACCAAAGCATAGATGGATGTCCTGATACTCCAGTTCACAGTTCCTGTCCAACAACTGTTTTAATTCTTGTATTCCACGCTGGGAGTGTTCTTGATGCAAACATTGATATGACTGCAAAAAAATCTGACGTCACTACATTTAAAGGAGCTTTCGAATCAGTTATGCGTCAGCACTATCCAACACTAGTTGGTCATATAACTATAAAATTAGTCTCATGCCCATCAATTTGCACAGAAGCTCTAGGAATACTATCTACTTTGAGTCCTTATAGTTTTGACTGTTCACCATCTACAGTTGAAACTCCTTCTTTGACGAATGATCTTATACCTATTGGAGCTATTCCACTTATAGCGACATCTTCACCAGAATATTGTGAATATGTAACAAAAACAATTACATCTGCAAATATGGTTTATAATGAATTTGTTAGATCAGATGATGGAAAAGGTTTTAATGGGCAAATTTGTATTGTAGGGGATAGTATGGGTTCAGTGCTCGCATATGATGCTCTATGTCGGACTATGCAATATCAGTCTCGACACGATAGCGAAAACAGTATTCTTGATACAGAAATAACTATACCGAATGAACCAGCCGATTACTATATGAATAAATCTCATCTTCAAGCTCCCACACCTAGAAGGAGATCTTCTACTGCAAGTGATAACCAAACAAAGTTAGAATTCGACGTCAGCGACTTTTTCACATTCGGAAGTCCGCTTTCGCTTATCTTAGCTTCGAGAAAAATATCTGATGATAAATTCAAAGATATTATAAAACCCCCTGTACAACAAATTTTCAATTTATTCCATCCAACTGATCCCGTAGCTGCGAGACTAGAACCACTACTGTCAGCACGATTTACGAATCTTCCCCCAATAAACGTTGCTAGATACGCTAAATACCCCCTCGGGAATGGTCAACCTTATCATTTATTGGAATTGATACAAACTCATCCAACATTATTCGGCGATCACCTACAAATGCCACCCACTCCAGTTCTAAGAAGATTATCCGAGGTTTCAGTGCAAAGTACGGTCAGTGGACTAGTTGATAACATTCCATTGATTACTATGAACGCACTTCAGCAAAAGTGGTGGGGTACGAAACGTTTAGATTATGCCCTTTATTGTCCTGAAGGATTGGCTAACTTTCCAACCAATGCGTTGCCCCATTTGTTTCACGCTAGCTATTGGGAAAGTTCTGATGTAATTGCATTTATTTTACGACAAGTCGGACACTTTGATTTGGCATTATATAGTCAACCAGAGGACAAGGATAGTGCAACGTTTAAGCCAGAACAAGATAAAGAAAAGTGGATGAGAAAGCGAACTTCAGTTAAGTTAAAAAATGTTGCAGCTAATCATAGAGCTAATGATGTCATAGTAATGGAAGGTTGTCCACAGACATTTTCGGCAAGGTTTATGTATGGCCCACTTGATATGATCACTTTGACTGGAGAAAAAGTCGATATACACATGATAAAAGATCCACCTGCAGGCGAATGGACCCTGTTATCTACAGTAGTTACGGACAAAACCGGGCGAATTTCTTATACATTATCTGAAAAACAAAGTGTCGGCTGTGGTATATACCCAGTACGAGTGGTAGTGCGAGGGGATCATACGAGCTGCAACTTCCATTTAGCCGTCGTTCCTCCACAGACAGAATGTGTTGTTTTTAGTATCGATGGCTCTTTCACAGCCAGCGTGTCTGTAACTGGACGGGATCCCAAAGTTAGAGCAGGTGCAGTAGATGTAGTACGCTTTTGGCAAGACTTAGGATATCTAATCCTATACATAACCGGGCGACCAGACATGCAACAAAGGAAAGTAGTGTCCTGGTTAGCTGAACACAATTTTCCACATGGCTTAGTTTTCTTTTCTGATGGATTTTCAACTGATCCTCTTGGGCATAAAGCGGCGCATTTGAACAACTTGGTAACAGAACACGGAGTAATTTTTCACGCCGCATATGGTTCGGGTAAAGATATAAGCGTGTACCATAACTGTGGATTATCGGCGAAGCAAATCTATGCGATCGGTAAAATAAGTAAGAAGTATAGTAATATGGCTACGACGTTAAGTGATGGTTACGCTTCTCACCTGGCTGATTTGAAACAGCCGGGGGCAGTCAGGCCGGCTCGAGGCAACGCTCGGCTCCTTGTTCCACGACGTTTGTTGGCATCAGTCTCCAACACAGCAGCCCGTGGACGCCGTTAAGTCTAATCTTCGTCTTATCTCATTTTCAATGTGAGGTAAGCAATTATTACATATTCGAATCTCCATTTTCTTTACTAAAACAATTATTTACTAAATATTTAATGTAATCTTTTTGTCGGTTGGAGATCAAATGTCTATAATATATCAAAATTATATTTTTTCATGGCAAATATATATTAATATTAGAATAACGGAGAATAATGTGTGAAGGTTTATTACATAAACAGATAGTTTATTGTCACTGTGTACCTTACTAATTTATTATAATATGTCTATACTAAAGTTATGTAATGAAACTCTATTACTAATGATAATGAGGTAATCGTTGTAGCATAAAACGTATTGTTAATCCATTTGTAAGGCTGGGAATCTCTTATTCAATGGTTTAAGTCAATATTCTAGTCCTTCTAAAATATGATATTTAAGATTTGTATCGGTCGTGGCTTTCGAACTACATGCTTATAAAACTATTTAATATCTATGCGAATCTCATCGCAGCTTGTACGCATATGTAGTTTTAAAAGATTATTTATAAACATTCACTTTTGAAAGATGTGATAACATCTTATATGAGAATGACCTCTCAAGACGTAGTTCAAAAACCTTAAGTAGATCCTGGATAGTACTATTTTTGGATTTATTTTATGTATAATATACATTTAATAGAATGTTATCTAATATTTATAATGTATTTAGTAGTTTTACCTCTCATCACATTATTTATAAAATATCTATTATTATACACCTTTTGCTTAAATGGTCATTTTAAGTTATAAATAGTACCTACTCATTTTTCTAATAAAAGGGACTGTAGCGAGTGAAATATCGTCTGATTTTATCTTATTGTCGATATATATCGATAATACCTTAAGTTTTTAATTGATTTGAAATATTTATTATAAATTAAGATAATCATGTTAAGGAAAATATTGATATTATATCTCTCGTTACATATTTATATTATTATATAATATTCACTTTGTAGGCTTAAGTAATTTTATAGTTCATAATTTTGGTCAGACTGTAGCTCTAATAGTTGTTTCAGAAATTATATGCGTATCCTATATCTATAAATGATAAGGTTTACATATTATATAGTCATATTTACGTATTTAAGAACAAAATGAATAAGCAAAAATATATATTTTCTTATCTTGCTCTGTCATCTATTGTTTCTTTCTGTTTTATGGAAGGTAGTTTTGTTATGCATTATTACACTTCGTGGATAAGACGTAACGTAGGGTACCTAATAGGCCGATTATCCTTATAGCAAAACCAAGTAACGCATTTCCTTATTAAGTTACCTAATATTTTCGTCAATTATCATTAATATACTTATATATATATATATATATATATATATATATATATATATATATATATATATATATATATATATATTAGGTACAAATAGTGATCAAGATATTATTTTTGCTTTTATATATGTCGCAGGGAAATTGTAAAAACCTTATACGACTATAAAGTTTATGTACGATTTTTGCCACTTCGGCTTGTGGAAATCAGATTATTGGTTTGTACACTTTTCAGGATGTAGTATTTCTACCTTATCAAAATATTTTTTAAATATTTAGATCGGCTGCCCTAGTCGCGCGCCCTTAAATAGAGGTCTTAGATTATGGTGGAGGTACTCGACAGAGTGCAAGGTATCCCCCCTTATGTTAATCTGCCGCGCTTGAGTAAGTCCAAAAATCCCCTGGCTCCTCTACTATTGACACTTTACAATATATTCACAATAAAAATTAAATAAACAAATGTATTTGCGAGCCCGCTTCAATGTTTACTTTTGTTTTGTTTTTAAAAATGTTAATCGACATATGAAAACGGACGGAGGCTTCCCGCCACATCCAAGTATTTACAATATCATAGAATGTTCTTAGTGGAACTATACTATACCTAACATTGTCCTAACCGTGATATTGTAAGAAAAGGCAAGATTAATGAAATTATAATTTTACGGTTTTTACAATTTACCTACCTGTGACATATATAAACACTGCAGTCAGATTATTTAGATAAAATTAGATTGATGTTTACAAATTAAAGGTGGCTTGAATAAATGAAATAAAAATATTTTTTGTATATAATACTGTTATATATGATATATGAATAGACAAAAAATTAACACTCAATAGTCCTGTGGGAAATAACTGCTAGAATTCAGCTGTTATTCCGAGAGCAATATAAGCGATAACACCGGATACTGATAAAGAAGGATAAATAAATACCATACAAACAAATTGGTACAATAACATACAGATCGGATAATAGTTTATACTATTGTATTCTTATAAATAAGTATGCACATTTCATCTAAAACAATTCTTATTACAGCTCGATTGATGTAACTATGTTATTATTAAGGTATAAACTTTTTTACTACCATCTGTTCACTCAAATGGATGGACTAAAATAGTTCACGATGTAAACTGTATACATTAGCGAGCGCATCTGCTTATTCTAACAATTTTCCTGTAAATATATTAATCAGAAGTTTACAAAATTATTGTGAACGATACACTCTATTCATAAACTCGTGATCATCACCTTGTTAATGAACGTGACGATAAGTGTGGTATGAACGAGTTCTAAATAGGATAATATTATAGAAGACGTTGCTAATAATAATATTGACCAGAAAATATCTGTGTTAATATAATATAACTTGACGATATCTAAACGAAGAGCCGACGTATCCGATGGTCGTTTGTCAATTGCACAGGCATTGTGTGGGACGTATAACTAGTCAGATATTTATAGTGATCTCGTTAACAAAACGAGCTATTGAGAACTTCTTCCTACCTTTCAAAATAACATTTTGTTCTGAAAATGAAATAACTACGTCCTGTTCGAGCTATATGGATGTAAGTTGTAACGTAAAACCTTATATAAAAACCGTCAATCGCTACCAACATTTTTAATGACTTTCATAATTCAGTAAATACGCTTGTAAGTATATGTATTTGTGTAATTCGACTTATTATTATTTATATATAAATGTTTACGCTTATATATTACTAATAATTTTATTTATATCTAGATATAAGAACTACGCCTAGTTGTAGGTATTAAATACTTATAATGTTCGCATTCCTAGTTCTTTTGAATAATAAGTATTATTAAATTATTTTATAAAAATGAAAAGAGTGGCATTATATATGACTGAGATTAATTAATATTTTTTTTACCCAGCGGAGGGTTCTGTGTTTGACCTGAATGTATGTATATCCGATCCTATGTTCCCTAATAATTACTAAACGGCTCTACCGATTTTGATGATTTATATGTCTTTAGATTCGCCTTGATTACGCGAGTGTCATGGGCTATATACCTAAATATCATTGAAAATCAAAATGGCGGCTCCTAGGCGCTAATTTGTGTCTAGATTTTTTTTTTCGTCCGAATCAATCGAATGATTACACGGATTACATAATAATATGGAACTTACATTTTTAAAGTGATTTGGGATAAGAAATTGTTAAATAAAATTCCAAATGTTATAACTGGCTTGAACTAAAAAGGTGTAAATAAAAAAATAATACAAAAATAAAAAATCCGACTGCGTTTTTACGCATAGTATTATGCAGTCGGAGACATACAATAAACGTTGCAAGACATGCAACTAGTATAAAACATGTCTCCGACTGCATAACACCTGCTGTGTATTTCTTCGTCAACATGTTCTCATCTTTTTAGTTCGCTTTTTACGCAGTCGGATTTTTATTTTTGTAAATATTTTTTTCAACTATTAATTTTTGTTTATTAATGACCACCTACATACTATGTATATCATTTTCTTTGATACGTATGGTATATAGCCATTTGCTGATCTCATGTTCTTATGTGGCTTCCAGAATAAGGCCGGCTTGTATAATATATAAAGATTTACCTATAATGGAAACCTTAAAAGAGTGCATAATCTAAATTCTAAACCGTATTTTCCGGCTTAAACTGCAATGTAAATATATCAGTTAATGTATTTTAAACGGACCTCAGACGGCTGAAGATTTATTGGAATTAGTACCTAAAAGTACCTATTTTATTCTTTGACAAAACGAAAGAGTATGTCAGTATTTGATATTACTTTATTATATGAAAAGTTTTATATATCTTTAATTAAAACTATTTTTAACTTGTTTTCATCTTCAAATTATAACAGTTGTTGTATAGGTTAAGGGTACGATTAATTATTGTTTTTTTCGTGTGTAGATGTGTATAGGGTTATGGATATTATTTATTAAACTAGATACTTAGATGTTCTAGGATGTTGATAGATAAATTTGTATTGGTGGCAGTTAAATTTAATAATAGGTACTATCTAATCTTAATATCAATTCTATTACTTTATAGGTATGAGTGTAGATTTTGTCGGAACTGGAATAAAGAATAATTACAGAAATGTTAGAAAATGAAAGGCAAAATTTTTATTATAAAACGAGACTTCTATTCTAACCTTTAAAATTTATGAACTTATAAATATTTTTATTAAAATTATAAATGATTTGGTCGTAAATTTTTATAAGTACTTGTTAGATGAAAATCTAAAAATTGAAGTTTCAGATGAATTTACTTAACATGTAATTGTAATATTATTTTCATCTTCCGAAAAGTGCTGTGCTAGCTTCAATTCCTTTTGTATTTAATATATTTAATATAATTATGTGTGAATAAATAAAATATTGTTGTTGACTCTTAAATGCTGTTTTATTAATGTATGTACATTATATTAATTATATTATTAGATTATTTTTATTTTTGCCGTTCCCGACGCTGGAAAAGTAACGCCCAAATATTTTTCGTCTTGTTCTAATACGAAGAAAATATAATTAAAATGTAACAATAAAGCTTTTCGTATGTCTCAGTCGAGGTGCAAATATTTTTAAATCTCAAATTTATAAGGGTCACATACCACCCTTATAAATTAGAGATTTTTTAATTAAATCTACTTATAATATTTTTTAAATAAAATATATAATATT